ACCTGCGTCATCAAACAGCTACGACAAATACCCGGATTGAGGAGGCTTTCTGCACAGACCGTCAGGAACAGGTTGAGAGAGGCTGGTTTACGTGCAAGAAGACCTTATTTTGGCCCTGTGCTTCAACAAGAACATCGTCGACATCGAGTTCAATTGTGCACCAACGTTCAGGCCTGGAACCTACCGAATTGGCATAGAATCTGTTTCAGTGATTAATCACGATTTCTATTGGAACGACGCAATGGAAGAATGCGGGTGTACAGACGTCGACGTGAACGTTTCGCCGACGCTTGCGTTCCCCAGGTGGACAGATTCGGCTGGGGCAGTGTTATGATGTGGGCAGCGATCACCTGCCATAGGAGAAGTGATTTGGTACGGTGACGAAATCCTACGTCCACACCTCCTTCCAATCATTGATCGCCAGAGGGAGTTGTTTCAACAGGACAATGCCAGGCCCCACACAGCACGTCACACTAGAGACTTCCTCCAGAACCACAACATCAATGTGCTCCCCTGGCCCTCAAGATCACCGGACTTAAACCCGATCGAACATCTGTGGGATGCCCTGGACAGACGGGTGCGACGCCGTAATCCTCAGCCCCAGACACTTCAGCAACTCGCACAGGCACTACAGGCAGAGTGGCCTGCGATTGGGCAACACGAGATTCTGAGACTTATTCGTTCGATGCCGAGGCGATGCCGTGCAGTTCTGGATGCCCACGGTGGTCACACGAGGTATTGACTTCAGCGCCACCACACGTCTCCATGTGGCACTCAAACTGACTTTCCTCGAGTTGGTGCCAAAGACGGATAAGTCTGCATTCCCGGTGTGCAATTTCGCTATATTTCATTGACTCATAAAGCCTACAAGATGTTTCAAAATAAACATAAAAATACAGTTGAAATTCCTATATGCGTTTCTTTTTTGGGAGAGTATATTACATATGATGTTATAACTCATGTTCATTTCTCAACATATCACATAAGTTTGTTTCAGGTGTTTTATATAGGAGTTAGGTCTCACTGGTTAGCTGAGATAACACATGACAACTCTGTTCATGATGTCCACAGTTCTCTGAAAATATCCATGGTCAGATACCAATGAGCAATTGTTCAACATATTCTCACCTAACTCTTTGAATAAAGTTACTTCCCTTCTATTTCAGAAAATATTTCGTCTGCTTTAGCAAACCTACATTTATAAACATTCACTTTTGACAAACCCATCATGCATGATAACAGTGATTAATCAATCATTATCAGTTAATCCTTTGATAAATGTATTTTTGGGGGTACCTGTACTAATCATTCCTCTCTGGCTGCACTGCAACATGCATATTTTTCATAAACTTCACCATATCAGACCACAAGGAATTAAAGACTTTCATCAACAAGAATGGTATAACACAGTTTGTTAATCTGGAAAATTGATGCCTATCAAGGAATTTAATTATTCTGAAATACAGAATATTACCTGTCTGCCAGCTGCAGTGGCTGAGCGGCTGACTTTGTGTACTGGCGATTAGGTGTCTGACTCTGAGGGTGTGGGTTCGAATCCAAGATGGAACTCAACCAGTGTGCAAATTAGCCACTGGCCCGCTAGCCCATGGCTAGTAAAAATCCAGTTGGGCCAGTAAATCTCCACAGTCACTGGCCCAACTGGCTAGTGAATTTTCATGGGGTCATTTTGTAAATATATCACTCTCTCCGACTTGTTAAGTTATAATACACTTTTAAATCATGCAAGATTATGGGCTGATAAAAATGTTCATCATATTAGCAGCTTAATGATGACTTATTTGAGCATACACAAAATATTTCAGACATGTGTTTTCGTATTTGTTTTTGATGGTATTTTACCTTTTTGTAATCTATTGCTTAGTCTCTACATTCAAATTTCAGGCTAGTGAATTATTTTGTGTGCTAGTAACTTTCAGGCATAGGTAGTCCAACTGGCTAGCAAAATTTGGAAACTATTTTGATCACTGGACTCAACCCAACAAAAGTACTAGAATCTGTACTTTACAAAATGAGAAAATGTAATCACAAATATAACATATGTTACGTTTCTGAATTGTCTTCTCTTAATCAATTTCATTTTTAATGCAAAAACTTGCCAAACATAATTTCATAACTACTATAATAATATCACTAAACTGTATCAAAACAATAAATGTTTCATTAGACGCACAGCAAACAAAGCATGCTCTCTTACAGGTGAGTATTATCAATACCACGATAGACTACTGACAAAGACAAAATGAAACTAATTGTGTTGTTCACAGCACCTTGGTATACAAAGGATCACTGATTATGCTGAAGTTATTCCTAATCAGCACACTTTCCTCCTCGTAACTGGACTCATACCATAACTGTATCTTCTGACAATATACATGCTGATGACATGAAATGTTCACATGAATATTTTGTCATTCTCACATTGTCTCAGAAATGGTTTTTTAAGGTTACATACAAGGAGCAGTAATGATATTTTGAGGTTACAGCGAGTGTATGAGGACTGAAATATGGGTCCCTTCACTTCTCTTGATAACGCATGTGATCATACATACCTCAGGAATGAGCCTCTTACTGATAAACTCCCTTGACACGCTATGAGTTCAATCCACTATGCGACCTCAGGTTTTATTTACTTGTGCACATTAGCAGCTCTATGTACAGGCACCAGGAATTCACTTAAAGTAAACAGTGCCGATAAACAAGTTTAGGAAATTAATCTACCTGGACATAATGCACACTCACCTTACGCCCATGTGGATCAGGCTCTTTATACCATATAGAGACAGATGTAATTTGATGAAGAAATCGACTTGCTTTACAGTACACCAACCTTCCTTACTTGATGCCTTGCATAAAATCTTTGGAACGGTTCGACAGTCACATATTTATAATCACATTTACATTCACGGTCCAAAACACACAGTGTTTACAAGCTGAGCCTGGAGACAGAGAGAATCAACCAGCCTGGACTTGAATCTGTTCAGCTGAGGATTACTTTGTGTCCATAAGGTCAGGGGTTATTAGCTGCTTTCACTCCAACACAGTGCTTTACAATGTACGTCAGTAATATCCAATTTAACACTAGGAATATAGAAATATGATTGTCCATTGATTACTTGTATTCTTTTTACATGTTTTTCAAGAGAATGACGCTTTCATACGTATGTCTAAATCTTTGACTCCTTTTGTGTGTAAATATATAGATACATGAAACCTCAATTGCAACATCAAGAGAAACTAATTCTATATTGTATCATTTGTAACTGAACACTAATTAAAAGGCAATTAAGGTGCATTTTGAGATTCCGGTATTAAAATTATAAAGCATGATGAAAAAAAATGTGAAGTTTCAAAATACAATTTCCTTTATTTAAGAATTTATATTTTTCCAAAGAATTGTTTTGTTTGAGGTTTCAGTTTTTCATTGGTAACCTTAATCTAAACATTCATTTCAATATAATGAAAAAGGGTAAATATTTTTTATTTACCAATACTCGGAGAAACAAAACATAAAAGTGGTATCCTCTATATTGTTTTTTAGTGGCTCTTACAGAAACCTTTTGAGTGAGTAATTTATGTTTTAAAGTAGACAGAAACTGTGAGGGCTGCAAAAAATATTGAAAACACCGATTGACTAATCCAAACACTTTCATCTTTTTAACACCAAATGGCCAAAATGAATGATAATATCACCAAATGAATTCTGATAATTCATTTAGTTTTAAAAAACAGAGTGTGAAATTCAAGACTGGAAAGATTTCATCTGGATTGTGAATTGTGTCTGCAAAGTTAGTAAAGAATAATAAGTAGATCTATTTCCATACTACAGAGCTACTATCCACTTCACACATATAGTACTCTTCATCAAACTAAATATTGCATGTACAAATTGGAATTATTTACTTGCAGATCTGGATTATTAACATCCTCGATAATCTCCAGGGTATATGTTCTGATAAATCTCCACTATACCCTGGATGCGTCTATGGTTCAAGTTGATGATTGTATTACCTTCATTTGCTGGCTCCGCATTCTCACAGTAGCCAATCAGATAAGCTGCCGTTACAACTGAGCTTGCCAGTGTCAACAAAGATAGCGGTTGCAGCCGTGAAAATTTGTTCGCATTGCGACTCAGATTTTTGGGGAAAACATACAGACAAATTGACAGGTCTGAAACCTTAAAACAATATATGCAAGAACTCCTTCTACCTCTTTCAGAGTACCTCTGCAACAATATATTATTGTGTTGCCAAGTTTAATCTGTAAGATAATCTAAAAAGTGAAAATGAGTTGTGATTGGTATGTTTAACTTCCCAGCGTAGACACCGGATTCAATCAGCTGATTGGATGAAAAGCCAACCAAGGGAGGTAGTAAAATCATTGGCTCGAGCCGCAGATGCATCCAGGGTAAAGTGGAGATTTATCGGAACGTCTACCCAGGAGATTATCGAGCATGGACTATTAATAGCCTAAAATTGCTCAATATATTGAAAATGACCTTGTAAATCTGAATATACATGTAATAACTGAACGTTGTCGAAGTAAAATTCTGGTTTTCAGTCCGTGAAAATAATATAGCGTTAGAACAGATGTCCCTTTATCACACTGGCATTTGAAATAACTCATTTCAGTGCTCTTTGAACCATTGGATTAATTAATAGATTCAATTAATATTTCAGTAATAATTCAAAATATAATTGTGCCATATACATTTTCCGAATTACAACCCATTTTGATGCATACACTTATACATGTACTATATCATATTATATTGGTGCGCCAAGCAAATGACCCCATTGCAAATAAATAATTATAATTCAAAACTTTTTCAAATGATTTTGTTGGGCAATTGCTGTTTGAAATTGATATGATAATATTTTAATATTTTAATAGACCCTTATATGTCTTTTACGATCATGTATCATTTAGTCACCAATATTGTCAATAGAATCATGTGTGGTCACCAAGTCGGTGTCTTGTACCTGTCCTGTTTGACTTCTTGTTTCTCCAGCTTCAACAGTTTGCTCTCGTATTTTCTAGGGAAAAGGAGAACGAACCTTCCACAACTAAAAAGAATTTCTTTGCTTTGAATATGACTTATAGAACAAATACAAAGTTATGCGATAAAGGCCCAAATGAAAGTATTACTGAAACTGGCGTTTGTCTCCACTAGCAGACGAAAAGTTTCAGCTGGATCGGCAGCCGACGATTCGTTGTAAAAGCAAATATGATTGGTCAATCTGTGATTGACATGCGTACATTTTCCGGAAGTCTGTAAAGAAAATGGCGATGGTTTTCGGAAATCATGTGAAGTAGAGAAAAAACCCTTAGGTTACAACGATAAATGAAAATAATGTCGAAAATATAGTTTGCAAGATTGCAAGTTTTCTCTTAGATAAATATAATTCAAATTTTGATTCTGAATCGACCAAGGGTTTTAGTCGTTATCCCTATTCATCAAAATGTGACACCGTACATCCACTTTGCCCTTGAAAAGTTACGGAATATATTTATTGCAATTATTAACGTTCTCCGTCAGTCATCATGGGATCAAGAAGAGACGTGAGAATATTACTTGTGGGAGATGGTAAGTTGCCATGTTTACACACCCCTGAAGATTAACCCATAATCAACTTATGGCCATGGTACTTTCATTTAAACGTCATGCACAACTTCGCCACAAGCCTACTGTGAACTCTCTGTCGAGAGAAGATCTTTAGAATCCACAATTCAAGATTGTATGTCTAAGTATGGGCTAATTTGACACAACCAGTCTCATCCTGAAAGGTCTTTGTTTCATAAACATGATGCGGTGGGTCAAACAGCAGTTTTATGTAACTTTTCCTGAACCACACTGCTTACTATGTTAGTTGTGATTTCTGGAAATAGATCTTTATACCACTGATCTTCATCAAAGTGAAATTTATGAATCATGTCTCCCCACTTTCAAGACTTATTCTAGAGGTTCGGATTTGGGAATCTTTGGATGATTTGGTACATAGACTCACAGTTGTGTACCAATTTGCATTCTTATGTCGTATATTGTTTAAATTCTACACTAATCATAACTTGGTCAACTAAAACTAGTTCCATCATCACTGGTACATCTTGACTTAGCGTGTCACAAAATACGAAAGATATTTTCCAAACCTTTTTTTTCCCTCTATTCTAGTAAATTTCGAGGGATATGCCTCCTAGTGTGTTTATAACAGAAAACATTTGTTATGTCAGTCTTATTCATACCATCACTTTTTCGTATTGTTCCCTGTGCTTATGGTATTGTTTTTTTTCTAATTCATGGGTATCTATTTGTGCAAGACAAAATTTCATTCAGTGAAATGAACATTCAGCATATTCAGTACCACTTTGATATAACGGGCGATGGGGAAGCCCGGTGGGGTAGCCCAGTGGGTTAAGTGTTCACTCATCACACCAAATACCTGGGTTCGATTCCCCACATGGGTACAATGTGTAAAGCCCATTTCTGGTGTCCCCTGCCGTGATATTGCTGGAATATTGCTAAAAGAGACGTAAAACCCAACTCACTCACTCACTCACACGCTTTTATCTAACAAAAGGTCAGAAATACTGAGGTATTTCACAGTGAAAGACAGAAGTAGGAGGAATAGATTTGATATGTAACAATATCTCTTGAGCTTTTTGATAAGGTGTACAAAATAAGTCTGTATGTTATGACAGTTTATTAAACTTGTTAATCATGTTATGTTAACTGTTCAATAATAAACGTAGAGCAAAAGCATGTGCAGTGTTAATGAAAGTGGGGATTGTGTTTAGGAACGGGGTTTTACTAGTGGTGGTCCAATTAATTGAAATAATCGAAGATTGGTCGCAATGACTAAACGACCAAGCAATCGATCATGTTTTCTAATAATCGAACACAAACAATTCTGGAACACTTGTTTGCATTTAACAATATTTTTCACAAGGTTGGTTTTGTCTGTTACATTTTTCATAAACATTACAAGCTCGTTCCAAGTCAGGATTGAATTTATCTTGAAGACTCCAGGAAATTATGTTCCTAACATATTAGTCATCCATTAAAGATGTTATATTTGCACATGCATTTTGTGGAATTTGCAAAAAGACTCATAAGAACTACATGTACATGTTTTTTCTTTGTTTTTTGTACAGTAACAAACATAACCAGAAAAATTTGATCAATGATGCTGACCAATTATTTTCGATGATTGATCGGTTGTAATGAACCAATCATCAATTATGAGATTTTATCCAATTCCCAACACTAGTTTTTACTCAACTGTATATGAATTTTGGATTGAACTTACCCTATTTTAAACACAGTACATATTGAATGACCATGAGGTCGTAACAGCTGACATGTTCATGACTGATCTTCTCAAATATAGCAGACTGGTGAGCTTAAATGTTAAAAATTTTGCTTAAGACTGAAAGGAATGCCATAAGATAGGTTCATGTTGTCTTAGTGACTTGCTGATATGACATTCTTTAACATCTTGACTTATGGGAACAAGAATGTTAAGGATATTTTGAATGTCAGTCATTCGGTGATCCAGAATCGGAATCGATCTAAAACCCTCATTACAAATATTTCCTTTCAGCTGGGGTTGGCAAAACATCCTTGATACTGTCACTTGTTAGTGAAGAGTTCGCTGAAGATGTGAGTATATTATGTGTATTGATCAACAATGTGCAGCAATAATATGTTTTGATTCACATCAAATGTATAATAGCTGCCAAATTTATAGAGGAAGTCTGTGTAGATCTACTGTTATCTGAACTCTACATACTGTTATAATGGTTATGTTATGGAATATGTAATAAAAGAAATGTTCAATTTTGTTGAATGTCAAAATTAGTCAAATACTTGTTACATTTACTTGAAATAATGTTTTTGATCTGTTCTTGAAGTACACAATTGATGTTTTTTTTTGAATGTATGATGTGCATTGTGAATACTCCTGAGAAACCTTTTCATATTTACAAAGGTACCATCCCGTGCAGAGGAGATCACCATCCCAGCTGATGTAACACCTGAACACGTACCTACGCACATCGTAGACTACTCAGGTTGGTTGTCACTTTGTAAAAAGAACATAATAATGATCTTGCATCATGTTCATTGAATTATGATGCAACCTATCATCTATATATCCAGAGCTGGAATTTGGTAAACCTGCTTTATCAGACTGACAGGTAAAAGAAGCCCACAAATATTGTTTCAACAGAAAGGATGTCTTTATGTCCTAAGACTTGTGATGGTTTCTGTTTCTAGATGATATAAGTTACCTCGTACTCTTTCCTTATGTCAGCATTTGATTGGTCAGTAAAATATTAATGAAAATCAAGGGTGGGTAATTTGCAGTGACAAGAACCACATGAATTGATCCAGGGGTTAGTGTAGGTAAAACAAAATGCAAGGTCTGGAGATGTAGAGGATGGATGTGACTTGATGGGAAGTATAATGTATTTGTGCATGGATCAGTATCAAAGGTTCACTTTTGGCTCACAAGGCTACTTACCTGCATGATGAAACTGAGGTGGTGGCTTTGTGTGATATGTATCACATTTGGGTCCAGAGGGGATGGGAAATGTTCAGAATAACACAGGTTTTTTCATCAAAACGTAAACATTATTGTACATGAGGACGGTATCCATTGCTGTAATGGGATATTGGTAGGATCTCATTAAATCTTAAAATATCTCACTCATGTGAATCCATGAGAGCTATTCTCTCAGTGGCAAGGCAAATCCCTGAAACCACCAACCATCCCTTTTAAGAAAGATCCTTTATACTATGGTATATCATTGCAGACAATGAGCTGTTAGTCATAATGTCTGTTTACTCAGGTATATTCTGCTTCAATGAAAATATCAACTTGAATGTTCCTAGTGCACAATTGGTAGTAAACATGTTGTCCAAGAGTTATTTCCTTTACCAAAGACAATCATACACATATTGTTGTTTGCAGCACAAGAACAAGATGAAAATGTGCTTCAAGAAGAGATTCTTAAGGTGTGTTCACTAAGTATACATTTTATTGTTATACATGTGGTTTATGGAAGTGTTAAGGTCAGTGACAAGAAGCAGATTTGATTAGGTTTGTTAAAGAAACGGTAATGGAAATGGTGTTGTGAAACATTACAGTTTACTCAGTATATGACAGCTCAGATGATTTCTGAATAATTTCACAAGGCTCAGGAAACAAATGGCCAGAACATATATATTCAACAATACAAATTATGCTTTTCACTTGTAATTTACCCCTCATATCTGTGTTTTTGTTCCAGGCGAGTGTCATCTGTGTGGTGTATTCTGTCACAGACGAGGATTCCATTCAGAGGGTAGGTGCAGCTATAACACCCTTGTATATGAATGTACTTCCAGATTTAGAAATTGTTAAATGTTTTAAAATTAATATTTTGTACAATTTCAAGGAATATAACATGTCATTAACTGGTGCCAGTTCTTTTGTCACAACCTCAGTTCTATGATTGTGGGAGATGCAACAGGTGAAATTTATGCAGGATGAAATTATCAAAAAGTCATCACATAGACATGTGAATGGATTGTGGCTCAAAAGCTCACACATATTAAAGGAAATGCAGTTCAGTTGTTCGTAAGAGTTATGTCACGTTTGCAAATAATGTATATATTACAGTTCTCTAAAGCCTTTTAAAATATATGTTTCCCTTCCATTTTAGCTGACCATGTACTGGTTGCCATTACTTCGTGCAAGTTTAGGGGATGAGCACCGAACCCCAGTCATTCTGGTGGGGAACAAAGTTGATCTAGCAGACTTCCCATCTCTAGAGGTAGGACATAGACCAAGAGTTACCTCCCTTATGTGAAACCTTGAGCAAGTTGTGAATCTGGCTTTGATATGTTAATGAAAGTTTCATACTTTGCTCAATTAAAATAACTAACACTACCCTTTTAGGAAAGGTTTGTTGTATTTTCTCACACAGTACCTTATGTATTTAAGTGCAGTGAATGTTGCTTGGGCATTGTGTGTTTGTTGTAGCTGAATCTTTTGTGATTACACAATGCCATTTAGAAAGTGGTCAAATGCAACATATGTTATATTTGGGATTACACTTTCTTAGTAAAGGACAAATTCTATTACTTTTTTGGGTTGAGTCCCATCCGGTATTCGAACCCACACCCTCAGAATCAGGCACCAAATCGCCAGCACACAAAGTCAGCCGCCTAACCCGCTCAGCCACCACGACTTCCACAAAAATGGAAGTCAGACAACTGGTAGTCTAGACTGCGGACTTTGTGTACCCCTCTGATAAGTGTAAATTGGCACGGCTCCCACGGCCGAAAGTTATGATAACACAATGCCATTTAGAAAGTGGTCAAATGCAACATATGTTATAATTTGGGATTACACTTTCTTAGTAAAGGACAAATTCTAGTATTTTGTTTGTTGAGTCCCATCTGATTCAAACCCACACCCTCAGAATCAGGCACCAAATCAGGCGGCTGACTTTGTGTGCTAGCGATTTGGTGCCTGACTCTCAGGGTGTGGGTTCAAATCCCAGATGGGACTCAACCCCAAAAAGTACTAGAATTTGTACTTTTGTAGTAACAGTGGTTATTATTTATTATGAATACAATTTTATCGTTTGTCAGACTGATCAGTTGATTACTTTTGTATCTAATAAGCCAGTTAGCTTTTAACAGAAAAATGTAGCAACTGAAGCACAGTGCTGTGTCTACACAGATTCATACCTATCAAAACATTACGTCATCATGGAGTGACATGTTTTCAACAAGATAAAGTAACTAGTTTGGGCAGACAAACCCAAATTGTTCCTCCAATTATGTGCCACCATTTTTCTATTTCAAGTGCCCCCTCCCAGAAAATGTTGTGTACCCAATCTCACTAAGAAGCTATGTCTGTGCTTGAAAAGTGTTTCACTTTGACTTGTTGACAGTGTTCAGCACGCACCCTGAAGAACATCAGCGAGGTGTTCTACTACGCCCAGAAGGCCGTCCTCCACCCCACAGCCCCTGTATACAACCCTGAAGAGAAGGAGGTAGGTACTGGTAGGTCGCAGGCAGGCAGGCAGGAGTAGTGTTCCAGTATCAGCTAGCTGTTGTGTGTCATCATGACCCAACCACATTGATGGATGCTCATGCTGTCAATCACTTGTTTGTCTAATCCTAGTTCATTGAGCTGCTGTGATACAACTAGAATATTATTGGTCTGAAAGTCACGAAACACTCACACTACTAGTTTTATCATGGTGGGTTCTACTCGAATGTTTGCCTTTTTAGTCATTAACCTTTTAACATATCACTTTTTGAAATATCAGGAAATCGATTGGTGCCATCAGGTCAGTTAAATCTTCATTCTGTCTGGTTGAAAACTTATTCAATACAATTATTTATTTTCAGTTGACACCTGCTTGCAGAAAGGCTTTAACAAGGATTTTCAGGGTAAGTGTGTTTTTGACATTATGTTGGAAGTATTAAAGTAAATGTGGATGTTATTATCTAACCCTGGTTGTCAGTAAGGTGTTAAATGTTTCCTCTATATTTTGTACTAATAAATCACCAAGTAAACTGAATATCTTATTATTAAATATTTATATTTCAGATTTGTGATTTGGACAATGATAACAATCTGAATGATGAAGAAGTTAACGCCTTCCAGGTAGGAATGAACAGGATCAAGTAGCTGGAGGCTAACATCACATATAGGCCGAAAACTATTCTTCTTTGTCCATGCAAACCAGGCATCTTCACAACTTTCTCCCCTAAGTGAAAAGTAGATACATGTGCATGTAAATCTCTGTGAGCTCAACACTTTTAGATGTGACATTAAAGCATATTTTACCTCAACCACCACCTAAAAACTTGGGCAAAACTCTGCTATTTGTGTGTAGAGGTTATGTTTTGATTTAGTTAATGATTATATTTGAAGAATAGATCAGTAATAAATTATTTATCATATGTCATCAACGCAAGTATCTTTGAAGAGCAAAGACTCCACTTATTAACTCTAATATATCTGGTTTAAATCGTAAATGTTTTTTGGGTTGTTTTTTTTTCAGCAAAAATGTTTCAATGCACCCTTACACCCACAAGCATTAGAGGATGTGAAGGCTATCGTCAGTCGGCACACCAGCGAGGGCATTTGTGATGATGGCATTTCACTCAAAGGTAACCAGCACCATGTTGTGTAGATCTTCAGAAACTAGGCCAGGCTTATTGACTGTCCTGAATATTGACAGATGTTCTCGTTGAAACAGGTATAGTTGAGAAGTAGAAACAAACAGAGGTATAGTTGAGAAGTAGAAAGGTATAGTTGAGAAGTAGAAACAAACAGAGGTATAGTTGAGAAGTAGAATGATAATGAATGAGTCAATGCCATGATTCTGTTGTGTTGTCGTCAGCTGTGTATCTGTCTATCATAAGCTCAACAGACATGTGACTCTGTCTTACCCAGATATGTTGCACATCCTCTGTACCTCTACAGTAAACATGTGGTATATATACATTGTTTATATGCTGCATATCTGTGTATATATAATATGGACCATTTTGCACATACAATACTGGCTGTCTGCATATGTCCATATTGACCACCCAGGCCGAAAATACATATCAGCCATATCAGCACTAGGGCCCGAGAATCAGCCATATTGCTTGGCTACTAAACTGGTACGTAATGAATTCATGCGAACCCTCGAAACTTCAATAGACGGAGACAACTTTATTTTAGAGTTATGTCCCTTTTAGTGGTATATGATAAAAAGGTTATGATATGACAGTTTCCCTTTCGCCAGTCATATCAGCCCAAGAGTACAATATCAGCCCTCGGGGGCTTCGACTCTTGGGCTGATAATGGTAGTCTTGGACTGATATGACTGGTGAAAGGAAAACTGTCATGTATGAACCTCTTAATACATGCATATAAGATGTGTATTTGTGTACATGTATGTGTGCTGCATATCTGTATACATGTTGTATACATGGTGCATGTCTGTATACATGTTGTATACATGCTGCATATCTGTATACATGTTGTATACATGCTGCATGTCTGTATACATGTTGTATACATGGTGCATGTCTGTATACATGTTGTATACATGCTGCATATCTGTATACATGTTGTATACATGCTGCATGTCTCTACATCTCCAGTGCATTTCTTTTATTTCTTACCTGTGAAGATCCAGGTTAAAATATTGATCTTCAGTAACCCATGCTTGTCATAAGAGGCAACAAACGGGATCGGGTGGTCAGACTCACTGATTTGGTTGACACATGTCATCATATCTCAAATGCATAGATCGATGATCATGCTGTTGACCACTGGATTGTCTGGTCCAGACTTGATTATAGACAAACTGCCGCCCTATAACTGGAATATTGCTGAGTGTGGCGTAAAACTAAACTCACTCACTCCTATATTTCTGCTGTATATGGTTCCCCCCAAGTTTCACAACCATGTTTGTGGGTTTCACCCAAGTGGTAATGACTGAGACCTGCATCACTTCAGACTTGAAGCTGCGGTATGTGTGCTGTATTTTTCATGTTGTATATCTCCTGCATATACTGGTACATATTCCAGGTCTTTTAACTCTGCTGTTTATTTGTTGCAGGGTTTTTATTTCTACATACACTATTCATACAGAAGGGTAGACATGAAACAACATGGACAGTGCTACGCAAGTTTGGATATGATGACAACCTGCAGTTGACTAAAGATTTCATTGCACCTAGGTCAGACCATTACCTAAACATTACAGATCTAAACCACAAAACATAGTCAAAATATTACATCCCATAATAGAGACCTGATGTCTTTTAAAATGACATAACCTTCCAGAACATTAATGTTAATGTACAGTAGAACCCTGTCAATCTGGAAAACCTGCTTAAGAGACCATTGCTTTTAACAAGGGTACATACCTCTAAAATCATGATTCCTTAGTTATGCCTTGATTGATTCCACTGAACTAATCCAGCCCATAATGACTGTGAATGATGTTGGGATTATTTACAAACTGTGGTTCATTATCCAGGTTACAAGTGGGTCCAGGGAGCACAACAGAACTGACACACCAAGGGTATTCCTTCCTAACTCACCTGTTTGACAAGTATGATGAGGTGAGCCATTACATTGTATGCCTTGCAACATTCTAATGCTTAGATCAATCGCTGGAGGACTTTATATGAATCATGACCTATGGCAGTTGTGCCTTCTGTAGAATTTTGCCCTTTTAACCCAGTGAGATGCAATCTGTAAGATGAAAATCATTTGTACTTTTGGGTTTTACAGAGCAGAATTGGCCGCAGGTTCCCAAGCTTGTCAGATGAGCTGACTTCTTAGGAATGTGTGGCGTGAATGATTGTATCAAGAAGTCATGATTGTGTGCTTTGTGTTCATGCTGTGACTGGTTTGTCAGAACTGACTGGATTATTTACTGTCTTTCCTTCACTTGACATGTGAGACTTGAAAATCTTTGAAATCATCCATGTGTGGATTATTTAGATAGTCTAAAGTTTTATTTTTGCTAGTAGGCCTGCCTCATCATGGTTCAGGCATCAGTCCTTCCCTGCAGAATGTATGAAGTCTCCTTTCCCACTGTGATAGTACAGGAATAGTGGCTTACATTCATCAGAATTTAACAACAGATGCAGCCCATACTCTCGGCAAGTCTCTTGTTCTATCTAGACTGGATTATTCAAACAGCATTCTGTTTGGACTCAGCTCTTCACACTTGACAAAACTCCAGAAAATCCCAAGTTTAGCAGCTCATATCGTATCCTTAACATCTAAAAGATCTAATATAACCCCTGTCCTAAAGTCTCTTCTATGGTTGCCCATTCAAGCGAGAATCGAATTCAAGACCTTGACCATTGTGTTCAAATGTCTGCATGACCTAGCGCCTCAGTACTTCTCTAAACTCATCTCAGTGTACACTTCCACCACGACAGTTGAGGTCACACCAGCAGTTCCTCCTAACAACACCCCCTGTTTATCTCAAGAACTAGGGGCGGTGGGGTAGCCTAGTGGTTAAAGCGTCCGCTCATCATGCCGAAGACCCGGGTTCGAATCCCTACAAGGGTACAATGTGTGAAGCCCATTTCTGGTGTCCCCCGCCGTGATATTGCTGGAATATTGCTGGAATATTGCTAAAAGCGGCGTAAAGCCAAACTCACTCACTCACTCACTCACTCACTCACTCACTCACTCACTCACTCAAGAACTGTGGTCACAGATCATTCAGCTTTGCTGCTCCTTCACTGTGGAACAGTCTTACCATAACCATCAAAACAGCAACCTCCTTGACTCATTCAAATCTTCATTGAAGACCCATCATTTCAGGAAATATGAGTGACTTGTACAACTGCTGCAGCTTTTACCAGTACACACAAGGCGCCATGCATACACTTGTGTGTGGATATGGCGCCATACAAATGGACATTATTATTATAGGTGTACTCAATATCATATTCACAGCCAGTGTTTCCGTTCTCCGGTATATACCTGAAAATTGCCGGTAAAATTCGTTGGGGACCGGTAAATTGAAAGCCAGCCGAACACTGTGTCCGGTAAATAATCATGTATTAAAATAAAATATGTAACATCTGTCCCTATGCTAATAAAAAAAAAATTTCATGGTTAAGCAAAATCACAGCCTTGGCTGTGATTTCACTGACGCAAAAAAATTATGTTTTGGAAATACCCAGACTAAAAATAACTTTAAAATGAGTACTTACAGTATGGTAATAGGATATGACCGGCAAATTTCTTTTATGACCGGTAAATTGTTAGGTTGCCAGACACAGTGTCCGATAAATAATGAAGTCAGCGGAAACACTGACAGCTGTGTATGTTTTAACATTAGTCCATAGTTTGATGACCTTATGATTCCCGTGCCCTCTGCTGCAGGACTGTGATGGTTGCCTGAACCCCACAGAGCTGCAGAATTTGTTCAGCACCTGTCCCATCATGCCTTGGGGGCCCGACGTGAACAACACTGTGTGTACCAACAGCGAGGGCTGGATCGCCCTGCAGGGCTACCTCGCACAGTGGACGTGAGTAACAACTATATCTTCAGTACTTTGTATTTGAAGACACTGATAGAACTTGAGGATTGTGTTTGGCATTATCAAAAGGTTTCCATAAAGACAGCATCGTTTATGTTATGGTGTGTCATTGTATTTGGTGGCACATGGTTCTGTGTACCGCGCCGATATCAATTGTAAGGCAGAGTTAACTAATGTTAGTTTCATGGCTGACCATCTTGGGCAGTTTGTCTCCTGAGAATTTCTAGAAATTCTTTCTTGCACCACACTGAAACACGTTACCTGTGGTGCCACCTTAAGGCAAGTACTTTATCATACAGTGGAAGCTGTCAAAACCGGCAGCTGTCCAATCTGGCAAGTTGTCAACATCGGCATAAAATGACTTTCCTGTCCGTGGCTAGTACATTAATCATCATTTAAAAGCTCTGCAATCCGGCAGCTGTCAATTCTGGATCTTGGCATGAAATGAGCCGCCCGAATATGAGTTTATACAGTAATCAACTCTGTCTAATCCGGCACCTGGTGAGGAGCCGACCGGACGTGTGTTAATCCTGCGTTGAAATAAGAAGGGATTATGAGCGTGCTGCAGTCATCACAAGTGTAGTAACTACATGGTTGCTGACAAAGATAACTTGATCTTAGTTCAGTATGGGTATACTTGTACATGTAATTATGTGTTGATTTATCATGTTTATATTATGAAGTGAATATGAGCTCAGTTCTAGTTGTAGGTAACTGTGTAAGCTCTACAATCCTGACGAGTGCCGGTTTAGCCAGCTTCCACTGTAAATATGCCTCTGTTCACTCAGTAGTAGATGGGAAGAGATGGAAATATGACTGTTAATCTCGTAGCACTAACAGGTGTACTTGACTTTTCACGCAAACTTAACTGTATCTGATACATTTACTTCAGATTAACAACATTATTAGATGTTCCAAGGACTCTAGAATATCTTGGACACCTGGGCTACCATTACCACCATGAAACTCAGCTGTCAGCCATACAAGGTAATAAACCAACTCAATTCATGGGAATGTTCCAGGTTAGAATTGGTCCTCAGAAATCTGTTGTTTGTGGGAGGCAACGGAATAGACTGAATAGTTTTGTGACGTTGTTGATAAAAAGTCTTCATATCCCAACAGTCTGGATCGTTGCTCCCAATATGAGTCACGTATTATGTTAAGGCCACTGTCATGCATCTGGAATGTTCACTGATACACACACATGATCAGGATGAAGAGGTTTGATTGATTGAATGCAGGGATGGATATAACTTTAAAATTGCTAGTGTACTCCGGTACAGTGGCACATGTAAAATCACTTGCCCTGATCATTTTTCCACTGTACCAGCTTGTTGATTTTTTAAATGTTCAACTGAACACTGGTACATCGTGATATACAAATTTGCTTGCCAGACAGAAAAAAACACTTGACTGGGACATCAGGGAATTGGTTATTTCCACCCTTGGAATGCTTGCCACTGTGCTTTGATTGCATTGGTAGCTCATGCTTTCAATACTGGTTTTTCTGTTCCAGGTTTGTTTACTTATAGCGAGATTATATAGATTTAATATAGCATAAAACAGCATGCACTCATTATTGTCATTGTTCTTCTCATCTTTGCAGTGACACGAGACAAGAAAATTGACTTAGAAAAAAGACAAACAACAAGAAATGTATTTCGATGTCATGTATTGGGGTCAAAGAATGTGGGAAAGGTAGGCACTATAGTGTTTCAATCTATTACAGCAAACAGCAATGGATTACAAAACGATAATGTATAACAAATATACCAATGTTTTACTCGACACAGATTGTGCTTCCAGTGTGCATCAATGTAATAGATGGATGCAGCAAAAATATTATTCACTGTTCCAAATTCTTGACAATGTATATTAAGGTCATGTAATTAAAGTAGATATATAAACTTAAAGTACTGTACATTTTTACCATTTCATTACTTTAGGGCCATGATATTTCTTGTAAGGAAAATTTTTTTACAAGGTCCCCTAGTTTTGGAGGTTACGGTAAAACTCTGTATACTCTGATGGACCTCACATTTTTCAGTCAAAACATGAATATAATAATTAATAAGACATACACATTAATATGTGTCAGGTGAATGGTATTAATCATCCCACCTCTACAAGGCCACTTACAGTATCAGCTTACTTGACCTCATGTATGTTATATTTGTAGACATCATTACGCCAAGGGCTGTTGAGTCGGAACCTGAGGTATGTGGCCACTCTGAACAAACACTTGCTGTCCAGCTTCACCATGAACACTGTGCAGGTGCTAACAATGGCCAGGAGAAGTATCTTATGGTGAGCAGCCTCTCTTATACTATCTCCCCTGTCACATATACTGGGGATCACAAGCCAGATACTTTTAACATTTAAACTTATCCTGTCCTTAACACTGTGGCAGGCAGTCTTTGTCCATGGTCTTATTATATGTAAGGAAAATTTTTACAGGGTCCCCTAGTTTTGGAGGTTAAGGTAAAACCTCTGAGTTTTTCAGGAATATAATAATTAATAAGACATACACATTAATATGTGTAATGGTATTAATCATCCCACCTCTACATTTCCACTTACAGTATCAGCTTACTTGACCTCATGTATGTTATATTTGTAGACATCATGTATAGAAGTATCTCATGGTGGCCTTTATCTGATGGACCTCACATTTTTCAGTCAAAACATGAATATAATAATTAATAAGACATACACATTAATATGTGTCAGGTGAATGGTATTAATCATCCCACCTCTACAAGGCCACTTACAGTATCAGCTTACTTGACCTCATGTATGTTATATTTGTAGACATCATTACTGCAAGGGCTGTTGAGTCGGAACCTGAGGTATGTGGCCACTCTGAACAAACACTTGCTGTCCAGCTTCACCATGAACACTGTGCAGGTGTACGGCCAGGAGAAGTATCTTATGGTGAGCAGCCTCTCTTATACTATCTCCCCTGTCACATATACTGGGGATCACAAGCCAGATACTTTTAACATTTAAACTTATCCTGTCCTTAACACTGTGGCAGGCAGTCTTTGTCCATGGTCTTATTATACTGATGGAAATGAATGAAAGTTCAAGTGTTCCAGATTTTCATCTTCAGTGCAAAACCAAGCGTGCAAAGAAACCTGGAAAAGAATATAGGAATATACATTTTCAAGTTTTCACTTATTCATTTCCACCAGTAAATGTTAGATCAGCAGCTGTCTTTGGCCTTCAGAAGTTACTCTATAGTTAAGTATATTATTTGTGTAAATTGTTTTTAGTTTCATAGCTTGTTACATAGCGGATGAATTTGTATGGGTCATGGACATCCTTTTACTACTTGCCAGTATCAGAAACGCATCTCTAATGTAGACATCTGATGTGCACTTTGCTTTGCAGCTCCATGAAGTCGATGTTGCCATGTGTGAGATGTTGACGCCGACGGAGCTAGACTGTGATGTGGCATGTCTGGTGTATGATGTCACCAATCCACGGTCGTTTGAATTCTGTGCTAGGATGTACTTGGTAAGACACAGGTTATTTATAGCTTGGACTTGCATCTGTTTGTGACCCCAGACAGTTCAACATAACTTGTCATTTCTGGGAGCCAGGACCTGAAAGAATGCTCACCTGTTTTGTTTGTAAAAAGTATCACAAAAATGACAAAAGGGAAAATATTACAAGAGAATAGAAATATTTCAGTTGTAACATTATTGTTGCTTCCTTCCTTCTCTAGGTTACAGTACTGTTTTGATCATGGGTTGCCTTTAAGATAAAACACAAGGTAAAATACCTATTGAATCCACTGGATGGATGTGAATAATGAAAAGGTATCTCATCTGAAGCTATTGAGCAGCGTTAGTGACAGGACCCGTTTATGCACCTGGATCTTCAATCACCTGTGGGCATTCCAGGGTAGAATAGGTCTCCAGTAGTCTATGTTTGTTGTAAGAGGCAAACCAGTGTAGATCAGGTAGGCAGACTTGGATACTTGTTTGATTCCATGTCGTCATACCACAACTGACAAGGTGCACATATATTTATCACTATTTTGTTTAGTCCAGACTTGATTATTTTCAGACCGCTTTGATATGACAGCAATATTGCTAACTGCACATGAATACCACAGACAACTGTTCCCACAACAGCTGTATGTGGCAATATTTAGCTGATAAACAGATACATGATGTATTTAGATGGCTAGTTGGTCTCCTTGTCAGTTTACTTTAGTTGTTATGACTCTCTTCCAGAAACATTTCATCGATAGTAAGATCCCCACCCTCATAGTGGCCTGTAAGGCTGAGCACCCTGAGGTTCGTCAGGACTATGAGTTCACCCCGGCACAGTTCTGTAGTCGCTACAAGCTGCCCCCACCTCAATACTTCACCTGCATCGACAAAGTCAACTGGGATGTTTACGTCAAACTTGCCACCATGGCTGCATATCCGTAAGTCAACCATCTCTCTTTACATTTTAATTATGATGTCTATTTTTCCTCAGATATCTAATCTTTTGTTCTTTTAGGAGTCACTAATGTCACCAGCATGTTCCTGTTGGTCAAACTTTATCACGTCCACACTTGCCTCTAAGCTTTCTTCTGTTGGTTAACTCTACTGTTTACAACCTAGAGGACAACCTGTTAGATGAACACACCCTAAACTTGTACAATAACGTAGAACATCCAGGTGTCAGTCCTAACCGTCCAGATAGTTGTGCTTCGTGTGTTTCGGATACTGAATAATGCAGTTGTAGACTTTATTCTGTGTTTCACTCCTCCATTAATCATTTTTTGAATTAATGTGGTTTTGGCCAATTCATTTGCATTGATATTTTGCGGGGTGAAACGTTTCTCTTTGATAAGATACATTGTTATTTTCATTTCATTAATGTTAACATTTTTATTTCAGCAAAGGCACATAATGAGTTGTACATGTAACCGTGATCCTGACCCTTGAATGAATGTGGTTGTGGGAGGTTACAGAGGGATGAATAACCAACCAGTGCTCCTGGGTGGGGGTCTCTTAGCTAGATGAACATGTACAGGTGACGGAGATGGTGACCCTTTTGCTTTCAGGGGTTTGGGGAAGCCTTTATAGTTAAAGCTAAGAACCAGGTACTGGTGGAATATTTTGCAAAGTGACTAAAACCCTACCTTTTATCATTAATAAGGTGGGCTGGGATAGCAAGGTGGTTACAGGGTTTGCTCATCCTGCCAAATCCCTGGGTTAGATCCCCCCACATGGGTACGGTAATTAAGCTTGTTTCTGGTGTCACCTGCTATGGTGTTGCTGGAATATTACAAAAACCAAAATATACCAACTCACTCTCTCACTTTGTCACTGTTATTAAGGAAGAGATATACAAATAGAACCAATCCTGTTTTTCAAGAAGACATCGTGTTCATACCCACTGAATCCATGAACCAGCTCTATTGATTCTGTGTCACATTTCATGTGCTCATGTTTCGTCAAACTGCAGGAGATGACTTCTCTGGATGCCATCATTACATGGGCATACATGCTACATGCCACATCTCTCCCTCATCTAAAGTTTCTCATACTCTGCTGTGGTATCATATGTCCTTGTGTACATGATATTCCCGCTCCTCTCTCCTGACACCAGTGTAGTATGGTCCTGGTTGTGTTTTTCAGCAATCTGAAACGTCTAGTACACATGCTGTTGGTCCATCAGAAGTCTCTCTGGCTGGAGGAGAAGTTCAGGTTCTTCCCCCTTTCCCAACTTCTCATAACATGTCACCTCTTTAACATAGACCCACTTCATGGACATGCTGTCTCCTTACAATAATCTACTGTATTCCTCGATGCAGCTCTCTCAAAACCTATTGTGTGACATACTAAACATGCTTAAGCTTGCATATTCACATTAGTATTGTAACTGTAATAGTGACCTTTAGAAATATGATACTTGGAATTCTTTTGGATCATTATTGAAGTTCACCATGTATATGAAAGCATCTCCATGAGTGTCCCTATACTCTCAGTCTAACAGCATGGGGTTCCTTGTAGCATTTGTTTTCAGTCTGTGGTGTACATATTTGTTTCATTTTATTTCTTTATTTCCTTTGTAGGCTTTGTACTCACAGTGGGTGTTTTTGTTGATGTTTTGGCACTCTTGTTTCAGGGATGTGTAATTAGAAACCATGTCCTGCCTCTTCGCAGTTGGACAATGTGGGATGTAATGCATAAACCATGCTTCAGTCATTCTAAGACCGTAAACAATCAATGGTTGTAGGAGTTTTGTGTATCACAATTTTTGGGAGGGTTTGCTACTGTGATTTGCATCATTGTGGGTTCTGATGGGCTGCTGCGCACCCATGTTTACACTGTCTGACTGGGATTCAAACACATAATAGAGAAGGGTCCTCATAGAGAAGGTCCTTTTATAACATGTGTACAATGTCAACCACGAGAAAGGACTGTGGGGTAGCCTTGTGGTTTATGCATTTGCTTGTCAAACCAAGGATCCTGGTTCAACTCCCCACATGGGTGCAATGTGTGGAGCCGATTTCTGGTGTTCTCTGCCATGATATTGCTAAAAATGGCATAAAACCATACTCGCTCACTCAGGGAAAAGGTTTGTAAACTATCTTGCCTATATTTAAACTGGCAGATGGTGTGACAAATTGCAGTCCACTATGAAGCCAACATAGGTAGAGAGAATTATGCTTGTGTTCCGAATGTACTGGTAGATGCTCGTACAGTGTCAGCCTGTCCCAGGAGTATTCAGAGAGTCTGTAGAAACTTAACCCTGTGCACCTTCTCAACTAATCCAAGGCCTGGTTCCACAAAGCTACGACAGTGGAAATGTGTTACAATGTGGAAATCACTGCCTGCACTTGGATCACTTTGTGGAGCACGGCCGAGGAATACAATATTCTGTTGTGGCACACTTCTCTGTAGATGCAAATCGTGGCTATGTACTGCTCTGCTATTACTGTCCAACATGCACTGGTCACTCAAACTTTGTATGATTCATGCCATTATGACATTCTGCTAAAGTCTGATGCTGATTTTGCTTCAGCTTCGCACCATCTGTCAAGTGCAAATTACAGAATATATTTGGACAAGTATGATTTTGACACTTTATCGAAACTTAAGTATTTGATCATGTTCAGAATCCATACGTGCAAGTGTAGGAAAGAAAAAAAAAGCCTACTGGCCTGCTGTTTAAATCCTGTTTCAATATTTCTGAGTTTTGTACAATGTTTAAGATTTGACATTCTCAGTGAGCCAAAATGATCCTTATCATACAGTATACTCCCTTCTAAAGGAAATGTGTTGCTCTGTTCAGACGTAAATATTTTATTAACAAAAGGCTGTCAGCTTGTCCGTAATATTCTGGAATTTCCACTCAGATGAAGCTTGTTGCAAAATCCTCATGAGATGTTGGTAGAACATTATGAAGGGGTGAATCATAGCTATCAGTGGATGTTATATTGAAAAGGCAGAACAGCACATAGCTACCATTTAACAGCTAACTTATATACATACCATTAACATCATGCATGCAACTATACTGGTTAACCCTTACTGGTCTCTGTGGATATGATGTTGTCATGTGCAAACATTTTGTTGGTCTTTCTTTTCTTTCATCCTTTCTGCACTGATGGAATGAAGTCACCAGTAATTAGTGTCACTTGAATAGATAAACATCCTTTTTGATACTCTGACCTGCTGAAAAGTGATGTTGATCCATTTGTTAGAATGCTGAAAGCAGTTCTAGGCATTATGAGGAAAGAAGTCAGCTTGTTGTTGGATCAGTTATCAGTAATAAGTTCTTGTGCATGTCTGGAAGAGTTTGACTACGCTAATTCCAATCTCAAAGATTTTATGAGCAAACACCAAACTTATCCTTGAGCGGACACACAAGCTTGCAGTATTTTTAAAACAGGCTTTCATGACGTTTCATATAGTTCAAGTCTCAGGAGTGGTGAATTTGTGAGGCTTGAAATTATACATGTGTATGTGTTTAGGTAGTGAGTGAAAAGCCCCTAAAAATGACCCATTGACAAACTTATTTTGTTTATGAATTCAAAGATGATGGCACACATGTTGCTTGTATCACTACTGACAAATGATCAATAAGTTGGTAGTAGAGCAGATACTCCAACATGCTTTTACATCTTAGTAAGATGAACATATACTGTAGCAGCATAGATTTCAATCCCCTTTTTAGAATCAAATTATTTCACTTGTCGTACCTCGAGTTCTCTGTACTTGAGGTCTGTGTATTTCCACCCCAGTCAAAATGTTTTCGTTTTCATTCTTTTCCCATCAGGATGTTATTTCCTCTGCTTGAACATTGCTGTTTTCATTTCAGCATTTGCCTGCATTTTGTTATTTTTCATGTTTTTCTGCAGAATGACTTGCATTTGGTTGATGTTTTGGCTTATTTTTTCAGTTGAGATTAATTTCCTACCTTTCTATAAGCCACCATGTTATTTAGTGTTGTGTGTTAATTAATAAAAATATAAATCTATTAATACAGAAAAAAAAACTGTTCAAAATATAATGTAACTAAAATTCTTGATGAGATAATCGTTTTGGTCTTTTTAATTAATATCTGTTTGTTTCAACTTAATTTTTACATCTATATCTGACCACTGATAAATACAAAGAGAGACTTTTGTTCAGATACGTCAGGGAACCATGTGAGTTGTAAGACCTGTTAGCCATGTCTAACCATCAGCTCTCTGTTTCCAGGCATCTGAAGGGCTTGTACACTGACGAGAACAAGGTGTACATCAGGCTAGGGATTGGCCTTGTTGCACTCACTGGAATGGGGTTTGCCATGTATAAAATACTCAGAGCATTAAGATGAGGACTCATGTTACTAGGATTTTAGCACAAATATACCTTGTGATGAAGAGAAAATGGACTCTTGTTGAAGTGAAGACCTGCCGTATCAAAGATTACCTGCACAACCCTCCAAGTTTCTTGTTTAGATTTCAAGCTTATATTCTCAGTACAGACATTGCTGGCGACTTTTCAGGATGTATTTCATTTCGTGTCAAGTATTTATCATCTAATGAGGAAGAAGCAAGGACAGTCTGTGTTAACCTAAGGGATGTCACTCTGTGTTAGTTTGACAAGAGGTCATGGTGTATTTCCTAGATGAGGGTCATGAGAAGTAGCACCGGGGACTGACATCACAGTCATGACAAGGGTAAACAGGTGTGTATGTAACCTGCTGCTAGTGGTGTCATAGGGATCCGGCATCAGTGGAGCTGAAGACAGCAGGTGAGACAATTCACAAGCCATCTGTGGAGGTATTGTCTCACCCCATCTATCTGTATCCCAGTGGCTAGCGTTTTGTAAACCTACACCAACACCAGGATTCTTTCCCTTGGTTATTGTGATCTCAAATTACCTGCCACCCGTGAAGGTCCGGGTTAAAATATTGATCTTCAGTAACCCATGCTTGTCGTAAGAGGTGACTAACGCGATCGGGTGGTCAGGCTCGCTGGTTTGGTCGACACATGTCATCGGTTCCCAATTGCGTAGATCGATGCTCAGGCTGTTGATCACTGGATTGTCTGGTCCAGACCTGATTATTTACAGACCGGTGCCATATAGCTGGAATATGGCTGAGTGCGGCGTAAAACTAAACTCACTCATTCACTCACTCAAATTACCTACCCTTGATTTCCATGTATCAGTTTCTGGGCAATACGTGTTCTGTGTTTTGTCGATATTTGACTGGTCTGTAAAATAGTTAAAAAAGATCACAAGACCTTTGGAAAAGGATCGAGATATTGGCTTAGGTTTACTCAAATGCCAGCTGTGGATATAGAGGATGATCATCACCCTGAGGGCTACGAACTCATCAGCAACCTGTGCTTTTCGTAAATAACTCAATGACAGCCTTTTAGTAAGTCACAGTATACCCAGCCTCTTCAGTTACGAACAGTACTCACCACACAAAGTTTTATATGTTCTGTGTTAGTGTGTTTGTTTTCCCTGTTCTGCAACAACGGCTTTACAAACTTTCTGAACAACCTTTCACACTGCTTGTTGAATTTACATACATACTTTAACTGTAGTTTTGAATATTTGGCAATGATTGTTGATTTTGTGCTTGGTACATGAATAAGTTTATATTTTGTTTGTTTTACAAATGCTTGTATAAGTGACTTCAAGCTTCAGGCAAGCTTCTGCAAGACTGTATGTACCCGGTGGGTGGGGTTGGGGGTGGGTTTTGCCTGAGTAAGCTCCATGTGATCAGCAAGGTCACTGCCACCAAAGACTGCTCCATATATGTCAGCTTATCCCTTGTGTAACGTCCCTTGAAAGTCCCTGATAACTACATATTCTCTGGGAGTGACTGATTTTAGGGTAGGGTAGCAGATTTAAAGGAGAAAATGTTCCCAAATATTCTGGCTCCCCCACCCCCAAAATAACATTTGTGATACTGGACAATTGTTTTGGACTGCCCCAAACCAGAAAATGTTTGTTCATAATTGGTCCTAATTCTAGACTCATCCCACAGAAAAGAACATTTCCAATTCAGTTACATGTAGTGAATCCATGGTTTTGTGTATGAAGTATGATTTAAGATATAAATGTCATTAAACAGCAGGATTGTGTTACAAGGTACATATATTACACAATTGATGGCATTTATGTGATAGCCAAACTGGACTGGTTTCATGTCACGCTGGGTACATGGTGTATGTAGAAAGGTACTGGGGTGTCTAGCAAGGGGTACATGTCTGTAGTAACAATGATGACAGTCCCAAAAATAACCTGCATTGTTTTGCTGTTTAGTCCTTTTCCAGCAAAGAATGTATGGTTATATCCTGTGAACATGAGTAGGTCTATTGCAGTAGTTCCCATGAAATATTTACTCTCAGGTATTTCGCAGTCATTCTGATGCAGAATGGGTAGTTCTGAAGGTGTAGTTTCGAGGTAGAGTAACTCCTGAGTCATGGGTCCATGGTCATCTAGGTAGCTCAGTAAGTCAAAATGGGCATTTTATTATCATTTACTGGCATTGTGTAAGGTTCAGCTGTTCTTCTACCTGCCCATCATGAAGAACAGCCATTGATTTATTTAATCAAGAGTCATTTTGTTACATATGTCATAGTTCATTGTCATCACCTATAGATAATGTTAATGTTGAGGATGGCAGATTCAAATCCTTCGATGGGTAATACTTAAGTGACATTTGTCATTCACATGTTAACTTTGAAAGTGAGAATAAAAGGGATACTTTGTAGAACTAGTTCTTTTACTCATTAGAAGAAATGTAGAAGATTGACTAGGTAATTTTCTAGGTAACTTTTACTCTGTAATGTTACTTTTCGTGTACAGTTGTGTAAATACTTCTGTTGTGGTGTTGTGTACTCAGTTTTCTTTCCACAAAGTGCAATGCTTTATTTAATCGTGATGGAGAAGGCTCTGTCTTTTTTGTCAGACTAGTCTCCTGTTTCTGTTTATACACTTGCTTCAAAAGTATTGGTGAGCTTGTGTGTGTGACAGACCAAGGGTGCAGCATTTACTAGGTAACAAACTAAATTTGAACAGTGTTGTTAAGGATGTTAGCTGTTGAAAATGGAAGCCCCACTGGTTTGAGGTTTGGCTGTGCATTGTTATGTCCCTGATCCACTAACTATACTGAGCATATAGTACAGATTTTGATGCTTCTCTGTAATCTTGTGGGTTTCACCAAACAGGGTAACATGTGCGACCTGCATCACTTTGAATTGTTCAGGTATGATGTGATAATGGCCATAACACGAAGGGTTTTTACAATTATCCAATAGATAGTCATGCATTTCAGATTTGGCACAACTGAACATAAGCATTTTCATTATTGTGAGGTTAATCAAAGTATATAATGCCTTTGACCTACATCAAGCTTGTGAGATAACATGGATATCCTGTTCAAACAGAAATACGTAAAAAAAACAGTAACTGCATGTAAACTGCTATACTATACCAGGTGCCTCTAAGACATGACAAGTAGGGGTGAAACGGTATACCACGGTATTAGTAGAACTGCTGTATTTTGCCTTAGGTTCGGTATACCGTAGTGCAATCCAAAAGTTCAGTATTTTCAGTTTTCGTACCATCATTTTAAACCTTTTCTAAAATGTCTAGAAATCGAAGCATTTTGTCAAAATCTATGCATTTCTTTGCTAGATGGTCGCTATTTTCCTGGAAGTAAGTTCTCATATACCGAACCAAAGGCCTTGTATCGCAATACATACCGTACCATGGTAAGAGCATTCCGTTTCACCTCAGACAGAAGCCTGGTTCAAATCCCAAAATCAGCCTGATTACAATTCTTGGTGAGTACCACACCTGTGCTTGTTGATTTCACCATGGCCTACAACCTGGTCAGTTTGGGCATTCTTCCCACATTCAGCCGATATGCTGTGATATGAGTGAAGTTCTTTTCAAAGAAATGTTGTATTTAATTCACCGACACTAGGTAAAACATTTGGCTCTCCTACTGAGGACCTAGCTTGACTTAGTTGAACAGATACTGCTGTCCCTGAATGGTGTACATACAGAGGTCTTGTACCGGCTGCCCCTGTGTGAGAGATGTGTTGTGACAAATGCATTGTAATGTAGATTTTATTCCAGATGTGCAAGAAAATCTTGAAAGTGCATTAAATATCATGACAACTATCTGTTTTGTTGTTGTTTTGTTTCAATAATCATTTGCCTCAATCTGAAACAAGTGGTGCTGCTTTCTTGGTCATGCAATGTTATGCCTTGAGAGATCTTAAGTCATAGTTCTGCCAGCACTGTGCTCAAACTTCCTCATCAAGATATGACAGAAACACTAGATGTGACTATAAATCTTAACTCCCTCACACACTCAAACATTATTTGAGGTGGCACAGGTGGTCCTTGTAGGCATCCTTTACCCTGTGCAGTGTTGCAAGCCATGTTCATACCAGAATCTGATGATTGCAAGCAAGGTCCTTCATTGTGCTGTCCTTTGTGGTGTTACTTCACTTTCACAACCTGGCATTGTGGAGGTGATTGAAGTATAGGAATTTGGTTCACTGGCTTTATCCCAGATTGCTGCAGATAATAATGCTTGGTTTGTCACAACCTTACCTGCTCTTGGTTGTTTCACTAAAGGATTAAAACTGCATAACTTAGCACAGGGAAAACACCATTACCCACTCGTCTCTCAGCCATGAGAGTCCTGGCCCCGATTTCTCAAAACAAACTTAAGTTATTACTTAAATTTCAAACTGAGTTTGACAATTTGAAAAAGCTGAATTTTTTACTCAACTGCATTTTAAAAATAAACAAGAAGACAAAGTCATCAATATCCCCCGCAATGGCAAAATACTCCATGATTATGTCTACGAGTTATGATTATGTCAAATATTTAGGTGGGTATATAGAAAAGTGGAAGGAGAGTATTGAAAGGTTTTTAAAGTTCTGCTCCAGAAAGGAGCACTATCACCAATTTCAGTCTATGTTAAACTTGTTGCCATGGAAATGCCAAAAATATTTTATTCAGAATTCCAAAACTACCAAAAGGCACCAGTACACCACCAGATCTATGTATGTGCTTAGGTTGGTGAAGAAACATTGAACGGTTTTAGAGTTCTGCTCCGGAAAAGTGCACAACCACTAATTTCTGTTTTAGTCAAATTGTTGCCATGGAAATGCCAAAATATTTTATTCAGAATTCCAAAACTACCAAAAAGGAACCAGTACACCACCAGATCTATCTATGTGCCAAGTTTGGTGAAGAAATAGTGAACGGTTTTAGAGTTCTGCTCCGGAAAGGGGCACTACCACCAATTTCAGTCTATGTCAAACTTGTTGCCACGGAAAAGCCAAAAATATTTTATTCAGAATTCCAAAACTACCAAAAGGCACCAGTACACCACCAGATCTATCTATGTGCCAAGTTTGGTGAAGAAATAGTGAACGGTTTTAGAGTTCTGCTCCGGAAAAGAGCACTACCACCAATTTCATTCTAAGTCAAACTTGTTGCCATGGAAACGCCAAAAATATTTTATTCAGAATTCCAAAACTACCAAAAGGCACCAGTACACCACCAGATCTATCTATGTGCCAAGTTTGGTGAAGAAATAGTGAACGGTTTTAGAGTTCTGCTCCGGAAAAGAGCACTACCACCAATTTCATTCTAAGTCAAACTTGTTGCCATGGAAACGCCAAAAATATTTTATTCAGAATTCCAAAACTACCAAAAGGCACCAGTACACCACCAGATCTATCTATGTGCCAAGTTTGGTGAAGAAATAGTGAACGGTTTTAGAGTTCTGCTCCGGAAAAGACAAATGTGCACGTTCGGACGGACGGACGCACGGGCGGAGTCTATTTTAATACCCCCCGCAAAACGCGTTGCGGGGGGGGGAGGGGGGGGATAAAAAGCCCCAACAACTTTAGTAATCTATCCACGAAACTCAAATTGTCTAATATGTTTGAGTTTAATATCGATTTCAGTTCATTCTGGGAAATGCATTTTGTCAAATTTGAGTAAAAACTCTTTAAGTCAAAACCTTAGACTTAAGTTTGTTTCGAAAAATCGGGGCCTGGGGGTGAAGATCATCACAAGAATCACTTGATGGCAGAATAATCAGGGGAAGATAAATGTGTTGTCAATTCCATAAGCTGAAAATTGGGTAGGTTGTGCTGAGATCAGTTGTTCACTTTCAAGGTAGATATCCTTGACACCGAACACCAGACTCGAGAGTGTTTGACCTTCAGTTCCAGGATCCATTACTATGTGGATATGTAGAGCTGCTTGTTAGCCACATAGTCCATGGTAAGGCAACGCATGGTTCTCAGCCTCTAATAAGTCAAGGTTAAAGGTGGGGTGAGGTGAAATGGGGTTTTAACACCATGCTTAGAATATTTGGCTCATATGAGGATGACCCGTGAAGGTCCGGGTTAGAATTGATCTTCAGTAACCCATGCTTGTCGTAAGAGGCGACTAACGGGATCGGGTGGTCAGGCTCGCTGACTGGGTTGACACATGTCATCGTATCCCAATTGGGTAGATTGATGTTCATGCTGTTGATCCCTGGATTTTCTGGTCCAGACTTGATTCTTTACAGACTGCCGTTATATAGCTGGAATATTGCTGAGTGCGGCGTAAAACTAAATTCACTCACTCATATGAGGATGTGCGTGCGTGTGTATGTGCGACTGCTTGTACTAGCCAAGACTTAAGCTGGTTTTATAGTGCTAGCTCACTGAGATACCATGCCGCAGTTCAGCATGAATACCCCACTCAGACACATTATACTCCGAACTGACCAGTCCATGCCAAGTGCCAGGCAAGGAACAACAAGCACCATACTTTAACGTCTTTTGGTATGAAGCAACCGAGGATCGAACTCACGACCTTCCGCTCTCCAGGCAGACACTCTTACCAGTACACCACAGAGGCGGTCCAGGTTAATGAATTAAGGAACCTTGTAAGGCTAAGATCGTTTGATTGAAGAGGACCCCGAGTTTGAAAGACATTTGGTGACTATCATGAGGTGTAGGACGATCCTCTGGGCTGTGACTTCTATCTTTGTCATATTCTCTCGAAAGCTCTGCAACAAACAGCTGTGCTAAAAAGTCTCATTCAAAACATTTGTATTGGCTCTAAATAGAGCGAGGGTTGGTAGAAATGGACAAATGTTTCAATGGTACATTGAACCAAAATTGCTGTAAACAAACAACAGCAAAGGGAATTTGACATCTTCACTGTATTGTTCATTTTAAGAGCATAAATCATGAGACAATCTTCAAAAAAAACTATGTATGTCACAAACACTCGTATTATTAATTGTAGTTCTATGTTATAAACAAAACAATGATTCATCTTGTTATTCGTATTAAAATTTACACCGAGAGAGTAGACGGAAAACTTTCAGTTTTAGTGTTTAACTATGATAATGTCTTGATTGGCATTTTAGAAGATGATATTTGATGAACATAGAGATTTTTTCTGGGTTACATCTTCTTTTTATTCTGAATAAATCTCTATGTTCATATGATAATGTCACTGAAAACAAAAGCAAAAAGATTTCCTGAAACTGATGACTCACGAATGGAGAAATAGGTTCTGTCAGCTTAACTGGCTTTTCTTTGACCGAAAGATCTGTTTCGGCATTAGCCATGGCATTAAAGTGTGTGGGGACTCCAGTCTGACATTCATATCCCAGCAACCTATGCTTGTATGAGGTGACTGACTTGAACGGGTGTAACATGACATGGCTTACAATCACTTGTCTGGTCCAGCTTGCACAAAGCGATCTCAAGGCCATCTTAGACCATGTTAGTGTTGTGCTGAGATCGCCTTGAGTGAGGTGACCTTGGCCCAGACTTCTGTTATTTCTGGGAGAATGCTGTAGATTATCCCCAGTTATTTACAGACTGTCGTTTTCAAAGCTGAATCCAGAGACCAAATTTTTTTATTATTATATTGTGCTTAGACAACAAATTCAGACAAACGCACATGACTTAGCAATTTATGTGTGGTGCCCGTGGAAATAATGCAGTTCTGTGAGTCAACCCAAGTATCGTTTTACGCCGCTTCAAGCAATATTCCAACAATATCGTGGGGAATCGAAACACACGTCTTTGTCGTGAACGCCTTCGTAGGCTAAATATGTTAGTTAGTAAACAACATTGATTCGGTGAATTTATTAGCTGAAATAACCTGGCATATAATATCTATATACTGAGAAAGAAATCATAAAACAAAATTCCATTACAAATCATACTACTATTTTCACAAGCGAGATAAACTGCATCTTGACTTTGCAGTGACAAGTAAAACTCTGCGCAACAGTTCGCTGGCAGTTATACGGGACTGGGCCCAGACTGGTTTCATGTCTACCTAAACGATTAAAAGCGCTTGCTCTGAGTTCGTGCACCAGCAATGGAACCTGTTTAAAGTTGCAGAGTTATCTACCTTCTTTCGTAGGCGGCGTAGGGGGATAGCCACGCAAGCCGGGCAAGAGGACAGGCTGGTGTATGTGGAACTGTCAAAACACGTTATGACGATAGATCTCACAGGTGGCGATGGGGTAATTATACTGTTTTTTTAGCAGCTGGCGTGTCTGATGTGTACAAACAGAAAAAGCCGGCCGTACCATTTAATAACTTCGGCTTAACTTCCTTTCAAAACAAATCATTTAATGGCGAAAAGAAACAAGTTTCCGACTAGGCCTGAACATGTGCTATTCATTATAACAAAATTAAAATCAATGTTTGTATAGACATCGACTTTACATTTCCATGCATATCTAGCAATTGTTTTGATGTCAACATGTATTCATTGGTGATGGGTTTTTTCCGTTTTCGTGGTCGCTAATGCCTCGTGTTTTGGTAGCGTAGTTACTAATGCCTGCTTGTGAAATACATATATTGAACCTTTGTGAAGAGATTGTTTTATACTCACGATAAGTTTCTATATTTTGATTGCCTTAATTCTTAAAAGGGGCACAGTTTCATCTGTCTTCATTTACCTTGTCCAGTATTGCAGGTAAGTTTCAAAGCATGACCCATCTTTTGTCGCTTTATACTTTCAATTATATACAAGCGAGTCCGGTAATTCCGCGCAATAGTGTACTTCCGTATCGAGGTAAACATCGTCTGCTACCACATTTACGCTTGAAATCGGGACATTTCTACAAGGGTCTGGCTTTTAATCACTAAAGGTAAGTAGATAACAGTAGTTGACAGATAAATTGACAGTTTTATGAAAATTCGTTTTCATCGGACTTTTAAACCTTATTCTTCATTATTCATAACTGGATTTAATATGAAACACTCTTCCTTACATTGATGAAGTGATTTTTGAAAATAATCTGGCCCTAATACGCTTACATATTTCGGATCTCGATCTGGATGTTATGCGAATCAGTTGTTGCGCAGAATTTTTGGACAGCAAGCGATGTCGTCAGAACGCCGTTGAGGTCAACCGTATGGCATAATGCAACATTAGAATCTCAAAGTCGTCAATATAACTTATATTTCTAGGTAAATATGATGCATACCAGCATATTTACTCATGTAAACCACAAAAAATAAGAGATGTTAGTTGCCCTGTTGCGATCGATGTGCTTAGGTGCGCGGAATTACCGGTCGGCATTGTATATTTTGTAGGGGTGATATTGGGGAGAGTGTAACCAGTATATGAACTGACACACCAGCTTAATATATTTTGATGTTCAAAAGTGTATTGGTTATACAAGTTAAGACTTTGAAAGACAATGAACTTTTTTATTTGAATGAAGGCCACTGGCCCATAGGTCTATTCAAAGAAAGTGCATATGTGCATATTATGGTGATAGATAACTTCATACAAAATATACCTTACGTATACGTTATTCCAGTGTTAAGATATATATTTACATAAACTGTAGTTTTCTATGTAACTACATAGGTTTCTAAGTAACAGCACATCATTCGATGAGAGGGCATTTTAAGTTTATACATTTTCAGATTATGACAATACATGTACCTGAAAATGTATGTTGCAATCTTTATATTTTGTTGTGTAAATGGCAGATTTGTTGTTAAAGTTAAAGAAAACCAACTCAGGAACAGGAGTTGAATGGTTTTGTCAAGTAACTCTTCATTTCAGTTGTGATTTGGTTTCATGGACATCTGATCTACCAAAGTACTGTACACTTCACTTCAAATAAGTCAAGCTTTTTCCCTTATAAATGTAGGTAAGTGTTGACACTTGAACACAACTATGTGTGTACACAGTTTTCGTATTAAGATAATTGTCCTTCATATTTTTACAGAACTTTCATTGTTGAGACTGTCAGAGGGTAAGGTTATCATGATGAGATGCACTTGAGTTGAAGACATAACCACTAGAGTATGTAACATGCTCAGGAGACAGATGATTAAAGTGCACTATGGTGTATGATTTATTTTTACTGGTTGTAATTTCTCTACTTCAGCATATATGATAGCTGCGGTTAGTGATGTAAGAGTGTCATCAAACTTCAGCATCCCACGAAGAACACCTACAGCATGTCCAGCAACAACAATGTTGTGATTGAAATGAAGGGGGAACCCATATCCAGCATGTCAACAACAGCCAAAGGGATGCTTGCAGCCTTGTTTTATGGAGTCTGCTCTGTAGGCACAGCATTTATCAACAAGGCCCTCATGACATCAATGAAGTTTGACTTCCCAGTATTCATCATGGTTGTGCAGATGATGTTCACAATCATCCTTTTGGAGACTCTCAGTTTTTGTAGAGTGCTTGACATACCCAGATACACTTTGGCCCGAGCCAAGAAGTTTGTTTGGCCAGCAGTATTCTATGGAGCTAATGCAGTGCTTGCTCTTACGGCACTGGCCCACATGAACATTGCCATGTATGGAGTAATGAAGCGTTGTGTACCTATCTCCACCATGCTTCTTGCTGTCGTAATCCTCAAGAAAGGCTTTCCGTCCCGTCTGACCCTTGTGGCAGTTGTCATGCTCTCCATGGGCTGTGTTGTTGCGGGTGAGTTTCATTCATGTTATCTTGTCACAAATCACATTCCTCGGCTGTATATAATGAATTATACTTTTTTCTTTTTCTTATTTTATTATTCATCTTTTTTTAGGTACAAGATCATGACATCAAATGACAACCAAAATAAATCATGCATTTGTATGCAGAGTTTAGCGGTATATCACATTGTCAAACATTATAACAAATCCCATAATGAAAGTGGGTCGGCTGTACGTCAATATAAATCAAACAATTGATGGCAATCAGACCTGAATCCAACAAATTGGGTAAAATTACAAGAAGAGATGGCATGTGTAAACAAATGTTACAATATCGAATTATATTTATTGATATCCACTGTTTTATCTGATGCTTAGGGCACTCCAGTCTTCTAAGGTGCTGCAATGCTAAGTGGAGTTTCATCCCCTCATCATACATGATTCTGAGATCACAGGTTTGGACCTGGATTTTCCTGATTATATTTCACAGGCAGTGGGGTATCCAAATGGTTACTGCATTTGCTCGTCATGCTGAAGATCCAAGTTTGATTCCCCTAATGGGTACAATGTGTGAAGCCCATTTCTGTTGTCCCGTCGTGATATTGCTGGAATATTGCTAAAAGCGACGTAAAACCTCACTCACTGATTGTGTTTCTGGGTTTGTCAGCAATGTTACAAATACTATTAGCTTCAGCAAAGTGATACCTATCAAAGACCTGCATCATTTCGGTCATATCAAGCTCTGCTAGAACTGAAATATTGTTTTTGTGGTAAACCAAACTCATTTACTTGATAAACTGATGCTGAAATATTACCGTACTAATTTGCACCTCTAACTTGATCTTTTGGCACATGATTGTCTTTCGCTGAACCAGCTGATCATGCTAACTTAGATACATAGATGAATATCTTAAAATGTGATTAAGAAATTTATAATGAGGTATTTTCAAGTAATTGATTTTTTTAATGTTCGGTAGATTTTCGTTGAAGTTTTTTGCCTAGAGAAGGTTTATCATTCTGCTTCACCACCAGCAGCAGCAGCTGTCATTCACTCCAGCTTGGCTGGTCATACACAGAGCATAGAGGACAATCAGGTGTCTGACTTTCCTAATGACAAATCAATCAAATATCAATAGGGTTTCAATGTATGTTAGTGTAAGTTGATGTTGAGGGACTGTTTGATATAGTCCCAGAGAAAATCTTTACCAGCATTGAAAGTCGGATCGATTTCGCTCTGTCCAGCAGAGGCCCAGATAAGCTGCTTATCCGGGTAAAAGACGCATAGAAAATTTCCAGTTACGCATTGAAAAATAATTGTTGCGTACCAATTACGCATTTAAAATGTTAGATACGCAAAAAGTTTAAAACAAATGCGTATGGAATATATTTATAAAAATCGCTTGTGTAAAGAAAAAGACATCGATTGCTGTACTGTACTGTTAGTATAGGACTAGTGTTGTACTGTCAGTATAGGATGAGTGATTTTTTATGAAATCATTTCCATTATATTTAAGTTGGTTTTGATTAGATATGACATAAGGCAGGACATACCTGCTTAGTAAACTTACTCAATGACATATACTTAGGTGAGTAAAATGACTGAAATACACACATATTTGAAAGCAGTGGGTAACGGAAAATGAAATACCCACTCAACATTCATAATACCCACTCCAACAAAATACAGTGGGTACAGTACCCACATGAGCTAAATCTTATCTGGAGCTCTGGAGCTCTGGTCCAGGCTGTATCAGTGTAGGTATCTTTTTCCAACACAGGTGCATGACAGTAGTTTGATTGGTGTAAAGTTCCATTATTACATATGTGCTCTCCTATTGTTTGTATCAGGTGTATTAATTAACTGAACTCCCCAAAATGTCTGTTTTCATGTTTATAGATCGCATAAATAGAAAACCCACTGTACACATTCTTGTGACATTTCTTGTAAGGTCAGATGTCACTGTGTAAAACATCATTTGTAATCATGGTAATGGTGGACAAGCTGAGTTTGCCACTTAGAAACGAAATCAAATTTAGAATGAAAAATTCAGTTAATAAAGCCACACTCTATCAATACACCCTTTCAAACATCGAGTTATGTGTAATCTGAAGTTGGTTGTGAATATCCTTCTCAGTCTGCTGATAAAGAATCGTCTATTGTCAATGTCAGTGATGAAATTGTTCATAACATGGGGCAGGCAATATTTTGATGGTGTATCCTGATTACTTCCCTTGGTTGCACCTTACGCAGAATGCGAAAAAAAAGTGAAATCGTACCGTCTGACAGTAAGAAATTGCATACTTTTATAACACAGTTGTTTTTTTCTGACACAGCTCATATTCATTGTCAGTCCAGACTGTAGCTTCTAGCAATTCACTGAATTAATTAGTTTAGCTTTCCTGGTGTGTCATGTTAGTCAGTCTGGATTGATCAATTGTCCATTCACTTTTGTCTGTGCATAAAGCCACCGCAAGAGCTGTTGGAGATAGAAGCACTTCTGTTTCGTCATGTCACTACCTTGTACTTGTGTACTTTGAATTCACATTGGGAACTGGTGGTTTATTATAACATGTTGGGGGGGCTTCATGAAAAGATTATTTCTTATAGTTATAAGTTTAGTACATTATTAAGGGACTGGGCACCTTGTAACAGAGATGTTTGAAAAAAGATTTAAGGATATGAAAGCTGAACAAACAAAATTTTCTGAAAAGTCTTATGGATCATTTAGATGACCCAGTTTCTGTGGCGGTACTTCCCATGGACTATGGAAAGGTTTCCTTGTTTTAAATGTTTATCATTTTGATCAAAGGGTATAGATTGATGATAATTTTGTCAGTCAGTCATGCAGACCCAAAGTGTTATTGTGGAATGCTTCCTATAACTAATAGTATTAGTCTTTTCAAGGTTGATTAGAAAACACATGCAGACATGATCTCATAAACAGTCCTCTGACTGGTCGATTAGAAGTTGGTCTGACTTCCTTTATTGGGGTGGTGGTGGGGTAGCTTAGTGGTTAAAGCATTGGCTCGTCACGCCGAAGACCCGTGTTCGATTCCCCACATGGGCACAATGTGTTAAGCCCATTTCTGGTGTCCCCTGCCGTGATATTGCTGGAATATTGCTAAAAGCGGCGTAAAACTAAACTCAGTCAGTCAGTCCTTTATTGGGATATCCTCATATCTATGTGTAGCAGTAGCAAGCACAAGATGTGAATTGAATGACATCCACCATATCCACAATGATCCAGACACATGTTCTTTTTTTGATTGCCTCAACAAACTTCCGACTATGTAACCATGGCCTGTAAAACTCTAGCTTAGAGAAACCAGTGATGTATATCAGAAGTGATGCATGTCATTTGAAGCAGGATGAAAGGCTATCAACCACGGCACCAGGATGTCTGAAAACCTTTGTTAATGTGTTGTTATTTGCACCTGTTGTAAAGTAAACTTAGGCTCAGTATTATTCATTACACTGCTATACTGAGTCTAACAAACCCTAGTAGAATGTCGCGTCAACGAACCTTTGAATTGACCAATCAAAACACAGCTTACCAAATTGCAAAATGTTAACAATCGCACATACCGTTTGTACTTTTACCTCAAACGATTCTGAATGCTATTTTCCGCACAATCTCTTTTGAGTTATACACATGGAGGATGCCATTATTTACAACAGTGAGTAAACAGTCGCTGAAAATAGCATTTTTGTCAATATTCCAGGATGTCATCTTGTGGAAATATAAGTTGATAGTAAACATGTCATCATAAACCCCTAAGCCTTCATATTGCAGGTCAAATATCTGAGTTTCTTTGTTGAGAGATCAGTGTCACTGACTGTGAAAGAGAAAATCCAAAAACTATTTTGTAAGTCCCGCCAAACCCTAAATAGTAATTGTTGTCTGGTTAGTTAAATACTTTCATCCGTCTTGTGTTTGATTGGATGGTCATAGGTCACTCAAAGGTTAGCTGACCCAACCTTCTAGTAGGGTTTGTTAGACTCAGTATAGCAGTGAAACGATTAATATTGAGTCTACTTAAACTGACCCATTGTGACCTGAGTCACACATAATATTTACTTGATTTAAAGTTTGTTGAATAAAAAACAAAATTCTGAATTTGCCACTGTTTTCATCGTGCAGATACACTGTTTTGGCACACAAATACACATTTGTGCCCTGAACTGATTGTAATGGTGCAGGTGGTAACACTTCAAAATCTAAACAATATTCTCAATTGATATGTAAAGTTTGCATAAAGCTGTTTTGCAGGCTCTTCCTGCCTTGTTAAACTGTTTTTTTGTTTTTTATATTGTCATCATGAAATTATGGGAAGACAGGAAAACAAATTAGCTCTTCCTTTTTTAATTCCCGCCTAACAGGTATTTGTTTCAAATAAATATGTAGAGAATTTTATAAAGTATTGTGGATTATATGTTTTCAGACAGCAGTATTATACACACTATAACAAAGTGGGCTGTGTCACACTTGCACATTGTTAATGCTTTTGTTTAAGATAAAATTGTCTTTTGTAAGTAATATGTATTATAGTTGTCCATGTGATTAACAAGAAAAAAGAGTATTCTAAAGTGTCCAAATACCCCATATGTGAGGATATTTATTATCTCTGTTACTGAACGTTTCATGTCAGCTGCATGTTGCTTCTCTCCCTGCAGGTTATGGAGACCTGTTCTTCCACCTGAATGGCTACTTGTGTGGCATCTGCAGCAACTTCACACAAGCCATGTACCTGTTGCTGGTACAGAAGTATTCTGAGAAGGAGCAGTCGACCGTGGACACGCTGCAGCTCAACAGCTTCAACACCCTACCATTCCTCATCGTCGCCTGCATTGTAAACGGGGAGCTGTCTTCTCTGCCAGAGTACGACCAGTTCAACCAGCCGCTGTTCTACGTGGTGCTGCTGGTGGCTGTGGCTTCTGGGTGCCTGCTCAACTACTCGCTGTTCCTGTGTACGGGCCTCACCTCAGCCCTCACAACCAGTGTGGTAGGAGGTCTTAAGGCCATGGTGCAGACAATCATCGGCCTGTTCACCTTTGGAGGCGTTAGTCATAACTTATCAACATTCATTGGCATCTCGATGAACCTATCGGGAGGAATGCTATACATTTATGCCAAGTACAAACAGAACAAGCAGAAAATATCAGGGGACTTAAAAAAAGTGATGAGCTTTTCATCATCAGATGCTTTACAGCAACTGGCCAGTGTGAAACCAGGTCACAGGCATGTTTCTAATGGAAATGTTGCTTATTACCAGAGTACAGATGATAACACTTCTCGCACAGAGTCATGATGGCGGTAGTCGACAGAACACCTGACTAATATGAATAATATAATAATCCCAAGATCATTCACTTTATGCTGAACTGAAAAAGACTTAACAGCTGAGGTATATAAGTTAATAAGTGAATCGAAGAAAATAACAAAATATCAATTTGGAAATGTAAGATGGGAAAAGAGGTCTGAAATTTACATGCAAGTCAAAGCAATAACAAATGCTTTGAAATATATGTGTATCATAACAATGATCATGATTATTGTAGCAATTAAAAAAATAGTTAATTGTTTGTGTTGAACTTCATGTAAACAGAGAACATAGAATACCACTGATAAAGGTTAATGTTTTTACAACAGATGAAATGCTACAAAAAGGGAATGGGAATTTGAAGAAATTATATTTTGGTGAACTTGATTTGGGAACACTGTATTATTCTCACCAAATAGTTTTCCAATATGTGCATGGTTATTTTATAAACATTTTAAAGGAATACATGTGTGCATTAGAACAATAACTCAGCATTACTGGTGTAAGTAATATACCAAGATGAAATGTGTATATGTGCTAGTTTTAAAGAAATGATCATAGGAAGTCCAAAATGATTTGAGGAAGTCCATCATTTACACTTGCCTGTCTTGTGGCTCAATATTTTAGGAGCCGTCTACTCAGACCTACATTAGTGGCTCTGAAACTATGCAGTATGTTGGCAATGCAAGAGTTTTATTTTCAAAGGATTCTAGATTTTTACTGCGAATGGCAAGATTTCTGAATGAAGAGTTTGTTCAGAGATGCCAATAAAGGATGGTTTGTTGGCATTGGTGAACCAAATGAATAAAAATAATTGTGGAAAACTCCCAAATGCCAACTTTTTTTTTTCTTAATAGGGACATCAACTACAACTGATGCACACTAGATTGGTGAAAGCTGAAAAAGATCATCCCAAATACACCAGTCATTTAATGCAATACTTGTTCACTGAACAGATGCTTCTATCAAGGATTTGATTTGATTTGATTTCCCACATGGAAAATTCGCAAGAAAGTCTATACACCAAGAAATAAAAACTCTTGCCTTTATCGTATATATGGTTGATCGTCAGCCATTATGTGTCATGGTTTATATACATAACAATTGTACATAGGGAAATATATATATAATTTAGACAAAATTGTGGTGTGTGATGTTATTTTGCTGCCTGTAGAATGTGCTTACAGGGAATTTCTGTGGTGGGGAAGTCCCAGGAGGGGCTCTCAGGAATACAGTCCGATGTTCCTGGCAGTATTAGTACCTTGGTTGATCACTGTGACCTGCTGGGTGTGACAATAAGCTCATGGCAAATGGACTACCAAGCATTTTGTTGACATTTCATACATAATAGATATAACATGCCAGTTCAGGAACCCTGTGTTAAATATAGATATGATAGCGGGGAATTCCTTGTGAAGAATGTCATCGGTGATTGAATGGAGAAAATCAGAATTGGATAGTCTGAATCTTTGATTGTACTTCTCATGCTTCAACAGAATTAATTTGTAATTTTGCATACAGCAAAATGTTCATATTATTTGTGTCCATTCTCAGTTTTTAAGTTTGAAACTGTGCTATTTTGTGTCTATGACTACCATTTGTTATACAGCTCTGTGATAAATCTGAGTTTACATGTGGCTGGAGCACCCCCCCAGAGATAATAAGGACTTTGTGATAATCAGGATCTGGTGGGTTATGCTACATGATCAAATCTTTATTTTGTATAACCACATATTGCAGCTGTCATGACTCACTGTGTATTCATGCAGAGGCATGACGAGAGGGTGTATGTTTTGTCCATTAATATGTGTTAACCCTTCCAAAATGTGACTATCATCAAGACAAGATGGCCAGTCTTTCAAATTGCCATCATGTTGGCCTGTTATGTCACCACCTCAACAATTGTGTGTTGAATGATTGTTGGACAAACATAAATTACTTATGTTATGTTATATGTGGGAGATATGTTTGGGTTTAAGGAGTTGATAATAAGTTGATGGGAGGCAGTGTAGAGTGTAATCATTGTAATGGGTTGGAAATCTGGGACAACTGTAGTGTTGAAATAGATGGTTTATTACTTCAGGAGACGTCAAAAGTTAATCTCTTGAACCATAAAGGAAATCCCAAGTACACAACAATTTATGCCTTGGTAACCTCAAAAAGACCAACATCACATCACATGACAATCTCCCACATCACACAACAATAATCTCACATTACATGACAATTTTCCACATAACATGACATTTGTCCACATGACTTTCTCCCACATCACATGATAGCTTTCATGTCATGTGGGGCAGTGGGGTAGCCTAGTGGTTAAAGCGTCCGCTCGTCACGACGAAGGCCTGGGTTCGATTCTCCACGTGATATTGCTGGAATATTGCTAAAAAGGTGCCGTAAAACCATTCTCACTCACTCGTTCATGTCATGTAACAATCTCTCACGCATAACTATCTTGCAAATTGGATGTCAACCTTCAACATCACATGATAACCTCCCAACATAACATGACATTCTTTCACATCACATGACACCAAAATCTCCCACAACATAGGCTAAAAATGACATTTTATGGAAATTTGGCAAAATGTAACTTGTTAACCCTTGCTTTTATATTTATAACTATTTTAGCATTACATTTAATGCATTAATACAGAAAGTGTACAGCCATTTTTCTTCAGTGGTCCTGTAAGTAGTCATGAAATACAAGCCATCCACTACAACTTGACCAACAATCTTTTTAATATGTGACCATAATAAGTATCTTATGGAATATAACCAATTTAATCCAATACACTACATAATGGTTACTACTACATGGTACTGTTGGTGGTGTTTTACTAGTACTTATCTTCGGTGTGCATTGTCTGTTGGGGTTAGACCAATTTATGGAGGTGTCCAATGGGATTGTTTTTTTCTCAACTGATTTAAAGAGTTGATAGTGTAATGGTAATATTCTCAGATAAATGTCAATTATATGGACATAATATATGACTGTTCTGCAGACAGGGGAAAGATCTCATATTCCTTTTTGTTGGTATAGCTTAGGCTATGCAATGTTGAATTATTCTTGGAAACATGTATCTGTCAACTTGTATGTTTTGTAAGGTCTGTAAGCAGTGGTCAATTTATTTTATTTGTTGTTGTAATTGTATGCTGCAAAATATGATGATAGATTGCTCAAAAGCAAAATTATATATATTTTTAAAGAGTTCACATAGTTGCCGATTAGTTGACAGTTCTCTTCATGCTGGGCCAAGGTGTAACCTAAATGCTGACCCTTTGGTTTTTGATGAGATGGAGAACTATGTTCCTGCATGGGCCTGTTGGCCAGAAGCCACTAATTGTGGGTCGCTATCACAGATTCATGTCCGGCCTGTGGGTTTCACCTATGTGGTCTCCGACCTGCATTACTTTGGGCCATAATGTTACTGAAATACTGTTCAAAGCAGCCTTAAACCCAACTCACTCCATCATATATTTGGCAAAACCATACTAATGAGTGAATTCCTCTTGGATTTCTTTGTGTCTCAAAGGGCATGGGTTCATTTCTCATGGATAATACAGTGAACTATGTTCTTGACAAACATGCCTACAGTGAGCTATGTTTGACAAACATGCCTACAGTGAACTATGTTTATGACAAACATGCCTACAGTGAACTATGTTTACGACAAACATGCCTACAGTGAACTATGTTTACGACAAACATGCCTACAGTGAACTATGTTTACGACAAACATGCTTACAGTGAACCATGTTTACGACAAACATGCCAACAGTGAACTATGTTTACGACAAACATGCTTACAGTGAACCATGTTTACGACAAACATGCCTACAGTGAGCTATGTTTGACAAACATGCCTACAGTGAACTATGTTTATGACAAACATGCCTACAGTGAACTATGTTTATGACAGACATGCAAACAGTGAACTATGTTTACGACAAATATGCCTACAGTGAACTATGTTTACAACAAATATGCCTACAGTGAACCATGTTTATGACAAACATGCCTACAGTGAACTATGTTTATGAAAGACATGCCTACAGTGAACTATGTTTACGACAAACATGCCTACAGTGAACTATGTTTATGACAAACATGCCTTCAGTGAACCATGTTTATGACAAACAAGCCTACAGTGAACTATGTTTATGACAAACATGCCAACAGTGAACTGTTTACGACAAACATGCCTAGAGTGAACTATGTTTACGGCAAACATGCCTACAGAGAACTATGTTTACGACAAACATGCCTACAGTGAACTATGTTTACGACAAACATGCCTACAGTGAACTATGTTTATGACAAACATGCCAACAGTGAACTATGTTTATGACAAACATGCCTACAGTGAACCATGTTTATGACAAACATGCCTACTGTGAACTGTTTATGACAAACATGCCTGCAGTGAACTGAAGGATGTAATGAACTAAGTTTGGCCCTGACCACTTGCTGTATATTTTAGTTGAAATGCCTGTAGCAACCTTCAGTTATAACAAACTACAATAAGTAGGCCCTTTGAGTTTGTTGTAACCATAGTTTACTCTAGTATCCATGAGAAATGGAACCATGCTCTTCGGACACTAAGAAAGTCAACTGACTCTATTTTATAAACTGCAGCCTATGAAGATCCGGGTTAGAATTGATCTTCTGTAACCCATGCTTGTCTCCCATGAAGATCCGGGTTAGAATTGATCTTTAGTAACCCATGCTTGTCGCAAGAGGTGGGCGGTCAGGCTCGCTGACTTAGTTGACACATGTCATCATATCCCAGTTCGTAGAACGATGCTCATGCTGTTGATCACTGGACTGTTTATCCAGATTTGATTATTGGCAGACCACCGCCATATAGCTGGAATACTGCTGAGTGTGGCGTAAAACTAAACTCACTTAAAAACTGCTTGTATAAGTATGCTTGTCATTTTAAAGGTCCAGTTTACCCCCAAGGTACCTATTTTTGAAGTCCACGACTGGTTTCTTCCAGTGTTTTATTCCTTGTATTATTGCTGAAAGAGCATAAATCCTAACTGGTCAATGAAATCCCTCTCTAATGTACGGAGATAACCAAACCAAATATCGTTGTATCATATCTCGGATTGGCAGGGCTGTTGTTTCTGTCTTTTTAGTTTTACCAACACTTGTACATATGCACTGGTCCGTGTACAGCTGAGGACCCTAGTGTCCAGGGCCATCACGGTGGCTACTGCACAATGGTTATGTAACTTATTGAAATATTATCAAATTGTGGAAGTTATTCAAAGAGGGTTAAATATTTTTAATAAAAGAATTTACATATGTGTTTTGCTCTTTAAGTTTTATCACTGCCAGGCGTTTAGGGATGGAACAGATTACAGCTGGATGTACTTTAAGGTCCAGGTTGAAGTCACGGGAAACGTGGACGTGGTGACCTTGGATATCAAGGTGACAACATGGCGGTCGCACGTGGTGAATTCAGGAGTAGCAACACCTCGCGACCTATCAAGATCTGTGTGAATAGTAAATACCAGCTTTTCAACCAGTAACCAAGAAGATTATGTATACAAGAAATCAAGTCTGTATCGCGTCATTTGGCAAATCGATTAGATTGTAGGAGGCATACAAAGTTTAAGCTTTGTACATATGGTTTGAAAAACGAGCAATGAATGGCGGTGGTTTCTAAGTTTGTGCAATATAGCTACACTTTGGGGCGACAAAGTAATACCACGATACACAAGGCTATGGTTCTCATCGGAATGCAGTTTGATGTAACAGCAGTACTCGTATATTGTCCAAACTGCAGGACTGACATTGACAATACATCTCTCCAGTTT